CGTCATCCTCGATTGCCTTCTTGATGTCGTGGTTCTTCCCCTGTTCTTCTTTGTTTGCTTTCAGTGGCGTGGCTCTCCAAGCGCAAATGGCGCCATGGCGCCACCCTTTGAAATGGAGAAAGGATTTTCAAAAAAGGGAATACGATGTTCCAAAACTTAACAAAATATCAAAATATTTTTTTCAAACCATTCTCTTATTCCTAAGTACTTCAGTCTTTAGTCAAGGTGTCTATAATTAGGCTAATGGGAGGAGGGCGGGTAAGCCTCCCGTTGCCGGTCGCAAGGGTCTCCCCGCCTCTTTCGTTCCCTACGTCTGACTTCACCGAGGGCGCCGAACCCAGATCGGCCCAACCTGAACCAGTGTCTCTGCCTGAACCCATCTGGGTGTTCATTGTTTAGGTGTGACGTCTAGTCAAAATAATTCAAAATGATCTATAAACTATTTGATTCAATCAGTTAAAACAGGGTTTTCTTTCCAAGAATAGCAAAAAAGTTTCTTTAATACCCCATCCAGACGTTTGACGGAAGACAAAAGAGATATCACTAAGAACATAACTCAGCAAAAAATACTACAACAGGTACTCCCATCACACTAAAAGAGATTGTACTGTTGGGCCAAAGGGCCAAGATTGATTTGGCGTATGTATGGTTGGGAGGGGATGAAGTGGTAGTTAGCCGGGACATGGCCACATGGCATGGTTGCGAACTGTCTAAAAATAGGTTTTATTGTCTGCTTTCTAGAAACCAGAACTGCAAGGAATCAGGGAATGGGGTCATTATGTCAAGACGCCCCGAGGGCAATAGTGCATGCGTGTTCTTGACTGTGAATGTGTGCTTTTCTGTTGATCAGTTGGAAGTTATTGTTTTGTGTGGGATTACGATGTGATGTGATTATGCGCATCTTGACCTCTGAACTCTCTCTCGATCTATATAAAAGATTGTACCGCCACTTATCTATTCTTCTCGCATGGAAGTATATATCAGTATTAAAATTAAATGAACATGCGTATATAGTAGGTACAGTTAATAGGATGTAATAAGTAGGCAATACTATTCGTTGTGATAAATTTGTTCTTGGCACCACCTTCTCTGGAAGTGACGCCACGCCCCTGTTTGCTTTCCATTGCAGGTTGTGAGAGTAGCTCTAAGTATCATAGGTCTGTGGTCCGTTTGCTCAATACAATACACTAAATACACCTAAATCTACAGAATGAATAACGCCAACCAACCATTGATTTGTCAAAGGGAGGCCGTTGTGTTTACGACATGTCGCAGAAATAAAGACAATGCGTTTTCTCACGACTTGTTTTTTATTGACCCAATCAGTAAACAGCTGGGCCATACTCCTCTCTCTTTCTCTCTCTCTCTCTCTCTCTCTCTCTCTCTCTCTCTCTCTCTCTCTCTCTATCTATCTATCTATCTATCTATCTATCTCTCTCTCTCTGCCAAAATTTTGTGGATGGAAAGAAAAAGAGATATGTTATTCATAGTTGATTGTGAAGGATGTAAACCTTCAGTCAAAATGTCATTGGCAAATTTGCTCAACTCAAAAACCGAAGCGAAGGACACAAATCAAGTACAAAGTGAGAATTAATTTCCAGGTTTCAAACGTGGTATCACCACTAACACGATTATTATACCTTTGAATTTATTTATATGTTCACCTTTGTGTGTGTGTGTGTGTGTGTGTGTGTGTGTGTGTGTGTGTGTGTGTGTGTTTCACTGTCATGGTGCGTCCTTTATAATCTGAGTGATTTCAATGTTTGGTCACGGCAAGCCCCACCCTCCTTACAACCCATTCGACCCCACTGGGTACCACAATTTAAAATATCCTAAGCCTATTCGTTAATACTATAGTCCTCTGATACCTGTCCTGGTTCTAACCTCAGGGTCAGACAAGGTATCTACCAGATTACAGATTGTTACGCCTTAGGTTTGACAAAAGACTTCGCGATTCTGTGAAAAAGGTTTCATTAAATGGAACTTTCAATTTCAAAACCAACTATGAAAACCACATTAGGTAAATATCCAACAAATTAAAATCAATCGTCAGGAGGAAGAAACATTAAAACAACGACAGCACTGATGTTTCATAATGCTTTAATTATTTCCAAATGAGTGGTCTGAACTAATGGACGATTACAATAAATTAAAGTCATGTCATGGAAAGTGAGCAGGTCGCAGTAGTTATAAAATATCATACTGCACATCATTTTTTTTTAACTGGGGGGGGGCTATAAAAACTTCGATAGAAGCGTAATTTTGATATCCTATGTCGATACGGACTCTACTGTAGCTAATTCTGCTGTGGTTTGTACACAATTGTAGGCCTATAAATTGTCTTAGACCGCCATTCATTGTTGGGGAGAAAAGTAGATCTAGTCATCTTGGTCAGGTAGGCGTCTTACAATGTCGTTTTAATGTGAAACATACGCAGGGGAGAAAATGGGATGAGGCCACTTGTACAAGTGATTGTCTTTTATAGCTGGCCGTTAGAGCAGATTCGACCCGACAGGGTGTCACAAAAAATACCCATTTAAAGGGCAATAACTCGGTTACCTTAAACCAGTTTCAACAAATAAGTCATATTTACTAGAAAGAGTTCAGTCAGTGCAAATTAAAAATAGCTTTTCAAAGCAGGTCAGGCTCTATTATGGAGTTCCACAGGGGTCCGTTCTTGGACCAATGCTCTTTACACTATATACACAGCCCTTAGCAAGCATTTTACAAAATCATGGATTGAATTATCATTTCTATGCCGATGATTCCCAAATCCCAATACTTAAAGAAACCCACAAGGACTGTTCCCTGATACATGTAATACCAATTAGGAAGGGACAACAGTTTACTGGGACACTTGAATAGACATACCTTGAACATCTAACTCTCTCAGGGAAAATTGGTGGCAAACGGGACAGACGTGGTCCCACAGCAATTTGCCTCGAGAGCCTACATATTATATGTAGATAGATGACTGGGAAAGATAAGGACAGTCCTCTATAGCCTTTATTCTTTTTGAGAGCATCTGAGCAAAGGAATGAAAGGAGAACCATGATCGACGACGTCCTTCGTCGATCTGGCTCTTGGTGATGATTGTTAAGATATTATGATTGGCCTATATGATGATGATGATGATGATGATGATGATGATGATGATGATGATGATGATGATGATGATGATGATGATGATGATGATGATGATGACGACGACGAT